AGCACCTCCAGCACCAGCACCTCCAGCACCTCCAGCACCTCCAGCAGCTCCAGCACCTCTAGCACCTCCAGCACCAGCAGCTCCAGCACCTCCAGCACCTCCAGCACCTCCAGAACCAGCGGCACCTCCAGCTCCGGCACCTCCACCACCAGCAGCTCTAGCACCCCCAGAACCAGCACCCCCAGACTCAGCACCCCCAGAACCGGCACCCCCAGACTTTGCACCCCCAAAACCACCAGAGCCCACAGCGACAAGCTGCGGAGGCGGCGACGACGGCCGAGGCGGAAAACCAGGAGGGGTCTCCAAGCGCGGGGAGCGGCGAGTGGCCGCCGTGTCGTCAGTCGCGGGGTCACCCCCCTCAGTTGGGCCAGAGGAGTCAGAGGAGACCTCCAAAGGCTCAACCAAGGGGGGTGGGTCGACCTGAGACACACCTGAAGGAGCAGGACCCTGCGGGGGGAGGGGGTCTATTGGAGGAGGACTTGGGACTAGTAAGAGGGGCGGCGGGGAGAGCGGGGAAGACGTGTGCGAGTGGAGACGGTAGAAGCAGACCGACTCGTCAAACGTGACGTCCTGTGAAGACAGGACCCGGCGCGAGGCAGGGTGGTAAAACTGCCAAGGCGGGGCGTCGGTGGGGAAGCCAAGGAAGACACAGCGGAGAGTGCGAGGGGAGAGCTTGCTCGCGGTGGTATCGCGAACAAGGGCGCCCCAGACCCGAAACGCCGACGAATCGCCAACCTCCCTCGTCCAACGCAGTGTAGGCGAGGTCTCTGGCACAGAGACACGGGGCCAGAGGTTGAGCTGATGCGCGGCGTAACGGACCGCAAACGGCCACAGAAAATGGGGAGCAGCCGCATGGATCATGGAGGTGCGAGCAACGTCCATGACTCAGCCAATGCGGCGCTCAACAATCCCATTCTGCTGTGGAGAGGCCGGAAGCGTGAACGTCTGGCGGATGCCCTCCGCACGACAAAAGTCTCGAAGGACGACGGAGGAAAACTCACCGCCTCTGTCAGAGTGCAGCCGCAGGACCTGGAGGTCCTGCTAAAACCGAGCGCTCAGCTGGCGACGAACAGCGATGATCCAGTCGATCAAAACTCCTCGGACATCCGCCTTGCTCCGCAAGGGGAAGACCGTAGTGTATCGCGTGTACTCGTCAACAATCAGCAGAAAGTAGCGCTCCTGGTCCTGTCCACGGACGTGGGCTGGGCCCCACAAGTCCATGTGGAGAGTCTGCAGAGGAGCAGTGGTCGGCGGAAACGAGGAGGAGTGAGGAGCGGTGCGCTGCCGCCCCTCGACGCAGGGAATGCACGGCGGTGCAAGCGAGCGCGGGAGCGGGGGCAGGGCCCTGGGGAGGCCAGAGACAAGGAGACGAGAGTGCATGCCACGCAAGCGTGGCAGGGAGGGGTGACCAAGACGGTGGTGCCAGAGGAGAGTCTGGTGCGAGAGTAGTCGGCACGAGCAGGACACAGCTAACTGACCTGACGCAGCCACCTGTGCAGACGCAGCCACCTGATCTGACGTAGCAACCTGTGCGGACGCAGTGGTCAGTGTGTACAGGCTAGACCCAGGGCTCCGGGTGAACGTGGCGAGGTGCTCGCCAGTGCGTGAGTCCGAACAGATTGCCACACGCTCACCTCCATGAGTAAAGGTACTGACCAACTCGTCCTGGAGGACAGCGTTACTCACCAAGTTCTTAGAGAACGAGGGGATGTGGAGACCGGACAGAGAACCGGAGGGGAGTGCCGGACAAGGGAGCACAGTGGAGGCTCGTGCAACAACTGGACCCCCAGAGGAGTCATCCAGAGAGAGTGGGACAGGTGCTGTGAGCAGTGTGACTGTGGTGCAATCGCGAAAGAAACAGCGAGACGCGCCTGAGTCAAGTGTGAAGGAGTGCAAAGCCTCAGCAGAAGCAGTACCTGCGGCAGCAGACTCACAAGCACCTAGAGCAGCAGCCTCTACACCAGCAACGCACGGCACACACGAGTAACAGTCACCCTCAACACTAGCAGCACCAGCATACATAGCATGGATTCTAACATTGATCTTGGCAAAGTCAAGAGCAAACACATCTACCCCCTTCCCTAGCAACGCTAACCAGTTGGGGGGAACCAGCTCATCTCCGTACTCGGTGCGCCAGGCATCCTCGAGATGACAGAAACAACGATACTTAGTGTGCCCGGTCTTCCCACAGGGCTCACCAGTCCTGGGCCCCGAGCGCCGGACGTACGGGCAACGAACATTAGCCCCAGAGGAGCCATGCTGAACCACCCACTCACGAAACTCCTGAGGGGTGCGTGGCTGCTGCTGCTGTCCACCCCCAGTGCCTCCGCCGCCACGAGCTGCACCACCAGTCGTCGTCCCAGAGCCTCCGCCCCTGCCAGCTCCACCACGACCTCCACCTGAGCCTCCTCCGCCCACTCCACCACCTCCACCACCCCAGCCACCTCCACTGCCGCCACCACCGCCTCCACTCCCGCCACCACCACCGCCTCCACCCCCGCCACCACCACCGCCACCACCCCCGCCTCCACCCCCTCCAGTGCCCCCCCCACCACCCTTACCCCCCTTGCCCTTGCTGTTGCGGCGCCTCCCACTAGGAGCAAACGCAGCACCGACCTCCTCAGTACGCAGGAAGTCAACAGCAGCAGCAGTAGCAACGGAGGCCGCGAGAAGGGAGGGAAAACACCCCTCAAAGAAGGGGGAGCGGGGAGTGCCACGAGAGGCAGCGGCAGCGACGGAGCTCTTCTCTGCCTCGAGAAGATGCTTCTCCAGCAGGGCAAGGGTGATCTCGGTGGGGTCGAGAGCAAGAAAGTGATCCCTAACGGCGCGGAGGGAGTCAGGGAGGCGAGTAACGAGGTAGTAGAGTGTGATGTACATCGGAAGCGGGTTCGCAGCCAGAAAGTATGGCTTGAGAGCGGCACGGTAGCGAGCGTCACTAGTGCGAAGGTGGGTGAAGAGGTCAGCAACAGTCTGGAACTCAGACAGCTCAGGGTGAAGGTACGGCAGCATGATCCGGCCTAGGGCAGCAGACAAGGGTGGGGAGTAACGAGCAACTACAGCGTCATACAGTTCCTTCGCCGTCTTAAGCTGGTCGAAATGGACTCGTTCCTCAGGCGGGAGGGCATTGCGGACAGAAAGACGGGCGGCAGCATCGCGGGTGAGCCACTGAGTACGAAGAGCACGCGCAGCTGTATCCTCAGGGGCTAGGCAGGTACCGGACACGTGTTCTAACAGTGAAACGTCCTCCCTAGCCTGGCTCTATAGGTACAGCTTGAGGTCCTCGAGCCAGCAGTCAAACCTAATCGGGCGCCCCTCCGTGTCAAAGGCAAGGACATTGAGTGTAGCCATCGTTAATAGCAACAGTAACAGCAGCAGTAGCACTAGCAGCAGCAGTAGCAGCAGCAGCAGTAGCAGCAGCAGTAGCAGAAGCAGCAGTGCAGCAGTAGAAACCGATCTGCCAGGCAACTAGGCAGCGCGGCGCGGCTCGGCAGGGTGGCGCGGCTCGGGCGGTGCGGCGCGGCTCGGGCTGTGCGGCGCGGCTCGGGCACGGCGGGGCAGTGCGGCGCTGGCAGCAGCGGCAGCGTAGCAGCGGCTGCAGCGCGGGCAGGGCGCTTAGGGCCGCGCGCGGGCTGTGCAGGCAGAGCGCGGGCAGGGCGGGCCTTAGGGGCAGCGCGCAGTCGACGCCAGCGGCGTGCGGGCAGTGCGCGAGCAGGGCGGGCAGTGCACGGGCAGGGCGCCGGCGGTGCAGGCAGCGCGCGGGCAAGGCAGGCAGCGCGCGAGCAGGAAACGCAGCGCGCGGGCAGCAGCAGCATCGTGCGGGCAGCGCAGGCAGTGCGCGGGCAGCGCAGGCAGCTTGCGGGCAGGGCGCGCGTAGGCCTAAGGCATCGCACTAGCAGGGCAGCGCGAGCAGGCCGCTAGCAGGGCAGCGAGCGGGTCGCGCGCTAGGCAGCTGTGCTGGCAGCGCGACGGGCAGGGCAGGCCGTGCAGGGCAGTGCAAGCAGGGCAGGGCAGTACGGGCAGTTCGGGCAGGGCAGTACGGGCAGATCGGGCAGGTCGAAAACTATCGATGGGCCCTAACGGAGCGGTCCTACGGACGGACCCGCTCTGAATACCATGTCAGAAGTAGGATCGTAAGAATGACTAGGATCATGGGCAGTACACGATTGTATAGGTAACCCTAACCCTAAAGTGTTGTACCCTTTAGGGTATGCCCCACTACAGCCTACAGAACAAATACAATTTGACATACAAGTGAAGCCCCAAGCGATAACAAAAGGGGCACGACCCGCAGGATAACAATTTTGGGTACCGTAACGTAATCCCTTGGATAAGCCACCCTCCACAATTAAAAGACCCCTGGGTAGCTTATGCAAGTAGGGGTAGCTTATTTTGGCAGGTTTTCGTCATTTGGTAGTGCTGTAGTTGTGATACGGTAACTGACTAAAAAAAGGTTGGGGAGAAAACAAAAGCAATACTTGCAAATCAGCTACTGCATTTTCTCATTAGCATGACAACCAAGATCAGCTAAAGGATTGAACCAGAGCCCCTCATCTAAGGTTATATCTATGCCAAAAAAAGCCCCGTTAGCGTCTTCCGTAACATTGCTCCGCATAGGAGACGACTCGTTATTACTCCGAACCTCCACTTCGCTGCCGCCATTACCGCAGCCCCCAAAAATATCCTCCAGCATCTCATTAGCCGAGTCAAAAACGTCACCCGCAGCGCCTGGAACACCAGGTCCTCTTGCAGCTGCAACTGAATCGCTCTGTAGAGGGGACAGGTCAACGGTTGCATTTAAAAGAATAGTTGATTCGTTAGCAGGAATGGTGGTGCCAGCGAGCCGAGCGTGCTCACTTGAAGATCTCGCTGCAACACTGGAAAATTGCAGAAAGGGTGCAGTGGCATCAACTGGTGGTAACTCCGTAACCATAGTCACAGACAAGCCTGCATGGTAACTGCTGCGACCCAGTTGGTGGTGATGATGATGATGATCAGGGTGGCTACCAAGAGCCGCATACTGCGTTGGATCGGGGGGCATGGAAAGATGAGGGGGCCCTCCGGGGTTTGATTCACCACAGCTGCAGCTGCAGCGGCAGTGGGCGGGTTTCGTTGCAGGCATGGCTAATGGCTGGCTCGGTGCGGGTGCGTACGGGGAAGGTGCATATGGTGCAGGTGGATACGAGGTAGTTGCATATGCAGGGGGTGAATATGGCATGGTAGCAGCATGACAAGCACAGGGAAGGGATGGCTGAAGTGGTGGTGGCTGGAGGAACGGCTGAGAAGAAGGTGAGGGGGCTGGTGGTGGCTGGAGGAACGGCTGAGAAGCAGGCGAGAGAGCTGGTGGTGGCTGTACTGGGAGAGGTGGAGGAGAGGATTGAAAGGAAAGATGCTGCTGCTGTGGTGGTTGCGGCATTTGAGGCATCTCAGAAGCTGGAGGAAGGGGAGGTAAGGGAAGGGTTTGCTGCTGCTGCTGATGATGATGATGCTGATGCTGCTGCTGTGGTTGCGACTTTTGAGGCGCCTCAAAAGGTGGAGGAAAGGGATGTAAGGGAAGGGTTTGCTGATGCTCCTGCTGCTGCTGCTGCTGCTGCTGCTGCTGCTGCTGCTGCTGCTGCTGCTGCTGCTGCTGCTGCTGCTGCTGCTGCTGCTGCTGCTGCTGCTGCTGCTGCTGCTGCTGCTGCTGCTGCTGCTGCTGCTGCTGCTGCTGCTGCTGCTGCTGCTGCTGCTGCTGCTGCTGCTGATGCTGTTGCTGATGCTGATGCGTCAGGGATGGTTGATGATGCTGCTGATGATGTTGCTGTTGCTGATGCTGCTGCTGCTGCTGCTGATGCTGCTGCTGCTGCTGCTGCTGCTGCTGCTGCTGCTGCTGCTGCTGCTGCTGCTGCTGCTGCTGCTGCTGCTGCTGCTTCTGCTGCTGCTGCTGATGCTGATGCGTCAGGGATGGTTGATGAGCCTGGTGAGGTGGTTGGAACCCTTGTTGCAGGTGCTCATGATGGTGCTGATGTTGATGCTGCTGATAAGCCTGGTAAGGTGGTTGAAGTTGCTGCTGCTGCTGCTGCTGCTGCTGCTGCTGCTGCTGCTGCTGCTGCTGCTGCTGCTGCTGCTGCTGCTGCTGCTGCTGCTGCTGCTGCTGCTGCTGCTGCTGCTGATGATGCTGCTGCTGCTGCTGCTGCTGCTGCTGTGTCTGGTGCTGGGCATGGTAAGGTGGCTTAAACGGATGCTGCTGTTTCTGCTGCTGCTGCTGCTGCTGCTGCTGCTGCTGCTGCTGCTGCTGCTGCTGCTGCTGCTGCTGCTGCTGCTGCTGCTGCAGGGAAGGGTACTGAGCATGGTAAGGCGCCTTGAACTGATGCAACCCTGCTTCCAAACATTGGGAAGTGCAGGAGCAAACAGCAGAGGTGGTGAAGGGAGAAAGATAAATAGGAGGTGGGGCAGCAGTGGGTGACGGAGGTAGAGGAGGGCGAAGAGGAGAATGGTGGTGTGGATGATGTTGTATAGGGGTTGCTTGTAAAGGGGGTGAATGGGGAAATGAGAAGACTGGAGATGCTGAAGCAGCCGGCTGATGAGGAGAAGCAGGCTCTGGGATAAGAGGAACAGGAATATCTGCAGGAACAGGAATAGAGGATGCTGTTGGTGCTGCTGGTGGTGGGATTTCTACCAACGTGCCGGCTTCGCAGCAATTAGGAGCTGCGGGAAAAGGCTTCGCTTCGAAATTCGGTGATTCGGACTTGGATGGCGCAGCAGGAGAGCTTGAACGATGGTGCGGCTTCAGCTGGTTTTGAGTCTGTATGCATTGGCTGGATTGCTGCTGCTCAGGCTTAATCAGGTGCTGAGATTGCTGGCTTAATGTAGAATACAGCTGCTGCTGTCCATCGTTATTTCTGCAATACTGTCCGGCAGGAGGGATAAGCTGGCTGACACCACAAAATGCCAATGAAGTGGAGGAGTTAGGAAATTTAGAAAGAATTTTGGATGGAGTGATTTTACGGTTTTGGTTGGAAATGTAGGTGTAGGGATTTTGCGTGTTGTCAGTGTAGTTACCCGGCCTGTAACCAGCAACTCCGCGGGTATCAGAAACATCGCCAGGAGTGTCGCCAGCAGCAACTTTCGTCTTCGCGTCCGATACATTCGCAGCTGCGACGGTCTTACCGAGCGCCTTCGCAATCATCGGAAGTTTCCTAAACCCGTGGTTCGGCTTGCGACGAGAAACAAGGGTCGCTCCGCTATCACTGCGCCCCGGAAAACTCGTTGACACACCCATCGCCAATTTCGCGCTGAACGAACCACCTGTTTCGCAAACACTCGGAGCGGAGGCAGAAGGCGAGCTGGCGGATGAAGTTGTTGCGGCAGATGCGGAGGAATTGTGCTGCGCCGCGCTGTGATTGTGTTCGCCGGTGAACGAAACATGGAAACTCGCTGGTTGCGTGTCGACTCGCCAATCGACGGTTCGTTTCGCACGGCAAGGCTCTGCCAAGCCCGAACCCGCGCAGCGGAAGTACGACCTGAAGGGGTTAAAAAAGGGAAGCATTTCAATACACCCGAGAATGTTGGTAAACTTCCAACGAATGAAATTATAACATGTTCAACATGTTTAATAGCATTTTTATGTTAAATAGCACACAGACAGGCACTTACCGCAGGCAATTAGGCTGGTTCATTAGCGGTTTCTCGCCATATTTTAGCCAGGAATAACCATCCTCTGGTAGACAAGTTGGCACGAGTGCAGCACGCAGCTTTTTTCCCTCGGCTTGACGAATCGCCTCGCTAGTGGTGGTACTATCGCCACCGCTGCTTCCGCCGTGTTTCGACCGTCGGCCCGCGCCGCAATTCCTTATGCTGCTTCCGCTTCCAGTGCCCGTGCTATAGTACGATGCAGAGAAATGGGGATAAGTGCGATGGGATGACGATTCTGGTTTCACTGCGACTAAGTTAGTAGCCGCGCCGTCAGTCGCGCCAGGTCGAGCCGCGACAGTCGCAACAAAAATCGGCGCTTTGCTTGATAGGTCTGTGTTTTTATATCCCGTTTTAATCTCATCTAAGTTTTTCCGCTTCATTCTCAACAGAGTTGTCGTCGTCGGCGCCGCTGGCGCAGGGTACGGCGCAGTCATCGGTAAAGTCCACTGCGCCGCCACTGTCGATGTCTTCTAAGTCGCATTTCTCGTGGTAGACGTTTCTTCGTGACGACGGGTCAGACTGCTACTATGAGATGCCACTAACTGGATGATCAAAGCAATTATGGTTGCTAGGGGGATTGTAGTGGAGTTTGTGCATGCGGTTGCTAGTCCTCTGCGCGGTTCACTTGGTTTGAAAAAACCCCAACGACATTCGCCACTAGTTACCCCTTCGGACCACGTTGTACCAAAAGAAAAGTGTGCTGAAGCAGTCGAAAGACGAAGGTGGTGCCACTGCCGATAAACAGCACGTAAGTGAAGTCAGCCAATCCTGAAAATAAATTGGCATTTATCTTCTATTGGCACTGTATACTGTACAGGGACAACAAGGCCAGCACTGGGAGCTGGGAGGGGAGGGGAATCTCAATCAAGCCGCCAACGTTCCCTCCACCACCAGGTAGTGGCTCTGGCTGCGCCGTGCCAAACAATCCACTTCCCTGAACGCCACCTCACTCTGCTGTTGCAGGTGCTGGTCATGTCGTCGTTTCATGTAAGGGTTGTCCTTGCTAGTTGCATTCAAGGACGGGTAATTACCTTCTGGGTAACTCACATCGAGCCCGCTGACGTCAAAAGTCACCTACGTGGCTCGATGGTACCCGTCAGATCATGCGCGCCCCTTCGTGGTACCCATCTTCCCTCCGTGGTACCCATCTTCCCTGCGTGGTACCCATCAACTGTGTGCGAATTCCCTGACTGGTACCGCAACATTTCAACCGAGCTGTACACCGTACACCAAGGGTTTCAATGCGTTTTTCAGTATATTGTCTTAACGTTTACAAGCTCATTAGAGTCAGAAGCCCGAAGTGCCACCTAATCGAGTCAATTTATCACACGCATTACCTATAATAGAGTGCAGAAGAAAAGCTGGATTCTTAAATAAAAACATTCATTGTGTAGATTTGTTTAGGCTAAGAAACATCGACAATATAACGTGCTATAAGATAAAGTAAAACTGATATATTGCATCAACCGAAAAAAAACATCCGTATAGCAAACAATCAACTTACACGTTAAGTATATATTGACTTAAGGTACATTTAATTTCATTATGGGTATTGTTTTGTTTCCAAAAACCATACGTATTATTTTTTTATGATTTTATGTTTAGCTTTAGGGGTGCATGCTCAATTCTGATGTACAGTTCATTCTGAGCGGTTACTCTCGTTGCGTCACGGTTTAAATCGTTAATTCTTAAGAACCGCTGTGAACCGTCTGGAATCCTTTTGCGCCACGACGGATGAACTGTACAGACGTGATAAATGAACGCGCTGACCCCGCCCTAAAAGAGTCCATTTTTCCCCTTGAGCAGAATTTTCCGATATCGCCTAGGTGTAGCCTGACCTCTACAGTCCCTTTTTTGGCGGGACATTTTGCAGCTTGACCGAATCATTGCATGAATCAAAGCCGCAGCCAATCAGAGGGCCCAGATCGAACCAGGGCCAACATTCAGGGAAAATAATAAAGGAGGGATCATTGGTTTGATATATAATTTTGTAATTGTAATTGACTGTTTATCTTGACCGTGCTTACGTCTCAATCCTGTTGCGCGGTCCCCAGCGCGCTAGACGAGGACATCTCATCTATCTCGTTTACAGGATAAAACAAAAGTTTTTACCTTCTATTCATGCCCCAAACCGTAATTGATTTTGTTTTGTTTTGCCCGTTAGTCATGCGACATTGATCAACGCTGGGAAGCGTGCGACAAGAATGTTGAAGCGAGCGCGGTCCGAATCTACGTAAAATACAAAAAACAAAAACTAGTAGCAAAACAACCGCCCTGCATGCAATTTTCCTGAAATGGGACTATAAGAATCCCGTTTTGCCCGGGGTTTGAAGGTTTTCGCACATAGTCCGCGCGCGGCGTGTCATTCCGTCGGACTATAAACGAGAACACTTGTATAAAGTAAACTTGCAGTGCTCCGTTCAAAACAGGTCAACTACGTACAGCTAGAGCTTCCACACGAAAGGCCCGTATATTTTTGGGAAGTCATGACTGTGACCCACAACTTCCTAGCGCTTCGTTGAGGAGTTTCCTTTGTCCGTCACCCAACTTGTGCCTGGACCTAGTCACAAGTGAGGTTAGTAATCGGACAGAATCTGGGAGAGTCATTTGCTGAGAAAACAGCCTACACTCTCCCGCTTACCAACAATGCAATACGTTTTTGTGAACACTAGCTGCTATCTAAATAGCCTCCTCCCACCTCCTAGCTCCACATAGCCAATAGTATGTCACACATGATGCTAGCACAACTGCATTCTCTGTGAATTGGCGGTAAAGGAGAAGTCCATTAGAACATCATAACTTCATATCATGCATGAAACAAATATATCAAATTAGCGCACAAGAAAATGGACCCAGCAGATGGTATTTGAGTAATGTACGCTCACTTCCCGTTTGGATGTGTCCTTCCAGTTGTCTATGCACATGGTGAGCAAATTTACAATGTACTTTCTTGACGAAAGCACTGGGCTAAACCTAACGAGGGCGGACAGCAAGAGTCGGAGACTGTTTATGCAGTTTTGGAGTCAAAGTCTGTTACGATTAGAAGTTGATCGTGCCTAGGATCACCTCAGGAAGGTCCGCACACGACTGAGTAGTGGTGGTGGGCCCTTGACCTCAATAGCAGAGTGAATATAAAATGCTTGAGATAATAAAAACATGCAAATACAGGAGTATAAATAAGAGTACAAGGGAATACCAATCGACCTAGCTAGCCATGTACTCTAAGGGGTACATTCCTTGATTACAGCGAAATCCAACCGTGCGACTCCAGACAGTTACGAAACTGTCCGGGCAGAATCCTCGCCACTGCTGCTGCCTGATGCTGTCTGCCCGACGGTCCAGATGCCTTCGTAACCGTGCGACCCTTCGCGTCACTTCCGTCCTTTCGTCTTCATTCTCGGTATTGCGTGCTTCGATTGTTGCGGTAAGGAGTGCACAGTGACGCCTCAAAAATTACTATTCGTAACACCCCCCTTCACTCCTGGCCGTAGCGAGTCTTGACCCGCTTGACTACTCCGCTGAGTTCGGAGCAGTGTTGGTACTGCTGACGTGGCAGCTTCTTCGTGAGGAAGCATGTCACCCGTCGAGCAGTAGGTTAGGTCAACCTTGCCCTTGTCAACTTCGTCCTTGACAAAGAAGTACCGCAGCGCGATGTGTTTGGTGCGGTTGACGAATCCAGGCTTGTTCGCGATCCTGATCGCGCTCTGATTGTCGCAGTGCAGGCGAAAGTTCGCCGAGGCTGAAATTTTTGCCTCCTGCAGCAGCTCCTGAAGATAGAGGCCTTCGCGAACGGCTGCTGTTGCTGCGATGGATTCAGCTTCTGCTGATGACAGGGCAACCAGCTCGTGCTTCTGTGAATTCCAGGAGATGGGGCCGCTGGGCTCGAGGCGGAAAAGGAAGCCTGTCCTGGACCGTCGATTGTCGGGGTCAGCGGCGTGATCAGCGTCCACGTAGCCGATGAGGTTGAAGGACGAGGTTGGGATGGTGGAGTAGCAGAGCCCAACATTGGGCGTGGAGATGAAGAACTGAAGCGCCCACTGGAGATCTAGTAGATTCTCAGCCGTTGGTTTGCGAGAGTACTGAGCCAACTGGCTCGCGATGTAAGAGAGATCGGGCCTGCAGGTAACGGATGCAAAGAGTAGGCATCCCAGCTGCTGCTGGTAGGTTTGAAGCCCAGCAGGGGACAGGGCTTTGTTGTCAGGTTTGTGGTTGGGTCCTGGAGTGCGGTAAGGGGTGGAGAGTGGTGCAGGCGCAATGTTGAAGCGCTTGCTAAGTTCCTCTGCGTACTTGGCTGCTGAGAGATGAATGGCTTCCGGCGAGTAGGAGATGTTGAGCCCGAGAAACTGCTTCACGTCATGGTTGCAGGTGATGTCGACGCGCCCTGCGAGGTTTTTCTCGAACTGCTCAAGCAACTCGTTGCTTGACCCTGTGTAGAGGAGGTCGTCGACGTAGACCGTGAGTAGGATGTATTCGCCGCGAAAATCGCAACGATAC